CTAGTCTTGTGTAGTCAGACTCTAAGGGGGTTGGGGAATGTGAATGTTGCACTTTACGCATGACTTCCATACAAGCACAGCTTAGGTGTGCATTGCGTATACTCTGCTGATGAGGGCCAACAAGCCCGAAACAGCTGTCCAGAGCTCCACATCTTTTTTCTCTTGGCATCACATGGTTCATGTTCCAGTATGACTTAATATGTATCATAAGTGGAGGCGTGCAAAAGAAAACGCTCTACATCAGTGGACCAGACTCTGTTTCCTTTGCGAGTAACGAGTCTACATAGTTGGCTACGCCAGACTACTGCTCATGTAGGTCTGTGTCAGTGTGCTAGTCCCCCCTACCATGCCTACACCTTTTCACATAGACCTGATGGGTATCGAGTTACCCTGCTGGTGAGTGTCTGTGCATGGGTATATAGAGAGAGTGGAGGGGGGCAGTCTGCAACTCCTGTGATTGTGGCTTTAGGTATTGCCCCTGGAATTATAAGATATCTTGGAGGATTTTTCACGTGGCACGCCCTATACCCTTTGTCGGGTACTGTCATGCATTAGTGTTGAGGATAATCAGCTTGTTCTGTACTATGTTTACTACTGCGTATTCTTGCTCTACTGTATTTTCTTGGCTGTCTATTCTATGCTATAGCACAGTATGCCTGTTGCGGACTAACATACATTGTATGTAATGGTGGGTTGAGGTGTATACGTATATGGTAAGTGGAGGTGCTTTCCAAATGTTAAAAGGGTTGTGACTTTACTCCTTCCTTAGTTTGCCCACATGACATATGGGCAACACTTGCATTCTCTTGTACCAGGTAGGCACGTACACCCACATGGCAAGCTCTTTGAAGCTATATATGTACGTGCATGCAATGTACCTGCAATATACCAGCCGTCTAAGTGAGAAGTGGGTGATTGTCTCTTTACTTACTGAGAGACAGTGGGATGGCATGCAGGGCTCCGTGGGAAGAATGCACCCAGTCAGGTGGCAGCAGAGGCGGTCAACACTCTGCTGTTCTTGACAGGCTTGGTCGGTGCTAACTCTCTTATTTCCCGGACACCCTGGGCTGTCGGTAATACACAGGCGTTTGTTTTGACCTTCTGGTGGAGGTGGGAGAGCTTTTTGTGACCAGGAGGTGCGTTCTGGTCATTGGCAGACTGTCTGGCCGTCCATTTATATGTAGCCCTTCTTTCTCTTTCTTTCTTCTTCAGCAGGCACGGAGCACCATTTAGCCCCGGCAAATCGTGCCACCCGTGCACACACCATGAGCTCCTTGTAAATACTGCACGATAGTCCAGTTACGTTTTTGCATCTGAACACTAAACACTGTATGAAGTTGCATCCAGGCAGCCTCTCCACTGGTCAGTAGCGCAACTAACTTTGCTGTCTGGATGTGTTAATATTGTGGTCTTCGAGTATCCCCATGGCCAGGCATGATGTGATGATGCTCGGACCTTATACGTACAGGTAACACGGCTTGGCATCGTTGAGAACTTTCTGTCATTGTGTCACACCTTTCCAGCATCTGTTACAGTTGTATTATTACACATGCGTATTCACATTTGTGGGTTTAAAGCATCCACGTTCGCTCACTCGCTCTCAATTTCACCATCCTGTCGTGGCTGAGGTTTTGAGTGACGATATATAGTGGGTCGCTAATGTGCCTGTTTGCAAACTGCCTCAGCTCCACGTCCGCCGGCCAGCTGTTTGGCCAAGAACTGAAGAGCTCTCTGTTCACTGCTGGCCTCTGAGTCAAGTATCAACAAAGGGGAGATAGCCAAAGCAACTGGCAGGGAGTGGCGTGTGTACCATTTCTTCCTGGAAATGGCTGCAGTGGGCCTACATGTATAAATGTTATGGTAGAAAGTATGGGTTCCCCTCCCTGCTCCCACCCCTCACACACTCCACCTATATCCCTTCTCCCCCGTGAAAAAATCTACCAATGTGAAATATTGCACGAGTGAGCTCATGTTGATTCTACGACAGACGTGCATAGGTTTTAGTCATCTGGATACTTTGCGCATAAGCTTGCACGAACACACACACATAATAATACTGGATGATGTACCAAAGGAGATGTTCAAGTGTACAATATCAAGTATAGCTACTTATAACCAATTTCCATCTAACATACCCTATTTTACGATCTGTGTCTTACACACTGACTTACTCGCCAAGTGTGTGCATTTGTATGCGTTCATATAGTGGTGTATGTACACCAAACATGACGTAGAAGTCTCTCTCCTTGTCCTCGTGTGTTGTAGTAACACCTACAACCTGTACAGCTGTTGGCTTTTCCCCGAACACGAATTCTCATGGACACTACACATGTGGGCATCTAGAGATGGCAGCAGGAACACCTGTCGGTACACTGTCACTCACGTAGACACACACAGAAACAGTCTGCCAGTCCGTGCTGGCTTAATGTGCACTTGTGTGGCTGCGTTACGGAACTACGTAACAGCGACAGAGTTGAAGTCTAGTACTACTGCAGTTCCTACAGTACAGTACAGTACAGTACAGTGTAAATCAGTGCCGGTAAGAGGTATCGTGGACAGTATTCACTTGGTTTTGTTCACAGGCATTTTCTGCTACCTGCAGATTTAAACCACTGACAGTTGTATGAAGTATGCAAGGCATAATATACTGTATAGAAAGGTATAAAGAAAAATATATATATTACAGGCCAGCCTTAAGATTACTGATTGGGATGGGCTGGGGTTCATGGCTTCCTTTGCGGGTGGCTTCTGGTAGTAAATGTGGCAAGTTGAAAGAGATTTTTGACTTTAGAAATCATGTGAATGCATGACCTTGTTTAAAAGTTGGAGCATCCATCCACTTGGGTTTCCCACAATTAGAGTGGGTGCAGATCGAGATGCGGGTCTATTGATCTGTACATGAGCAATGGGAGGGAAAAGGAAGGAAGTTTAAGAGAGAGTGTGTAGGAGGCTGTGTTCGTTATTTTGTCGGGATTCCCGAGAAGAGTATTAGTTCTACCCTCACTTCCTTCAACACACGGTACCCTTCCAGACTATTGGCGTCCCGCCCATTTGTCCAGCGAGAAGGCAACGGTAGTGAGAAGGCAAAGTTGACTTGGACTGATTGTGATTTATTCACACCACATGCATTCCCTTAACAATTTATCCCTTTCATAATTGGGATGATTTCCAGTAAGCCACACGGTTCCAAGCCACTCTTTAGTTGTCAGGCAACGAAAATAACAGATAGAGATTTGCTGTGCCTATATTTAATAAGCGAGCAGCCAGGTACGTAGTAGCGGAATGAGTGTCTGTTTCCAATCTTATGTTACGTGGTCTTTACCCTCTAAAGTTGAGCCAACCTACAAGCATTGATCAGTGTGGGCATGTTAAACACAGATTGCCTACCATAGTATAGAGCCAGAATTTGCACAGTAACAGTATTAAAAGCAATCTTTCAAAGCCTCCTGTGCATGCATTCAGGCCGGACAATAGAGAATCTGTAGAGACTGTTGTTAACCTCTCAGAGGTATATAGTTTTTGGCATCGTATCATAATATTGCTATTCGATCACAGTGCAAAACATGGGTAGCTATATGAAACACTTGTATATCCATTCTTCTCTCTGTCAAGATATCTCATGTGCTATGAGACCATAAATGGAGCTTACATTTGTAAGTGCATCAAGCCTTAATAATTGTGCTGGTAGGGATATTCTGTTACCATATTCGTCCAGCCACTGCCAGTTTTGAATTGTTCTCTCCCTTTTCACTGTAATTGCCTCTCCATTATGTCGTTTGGCAGTGCGGACAAGATCCGGCTCATAATATAGCGATTGTTAGCGTACTCTGAACAAAAGGTTTTGTGTATGTACAACACATGTAGCCGCCGTTTACTGTGGTAATTGCCGTGGTTTAGTTTGAATGCAGACTGTGAGTTGTATTATTGTATCCCAGCTTACGGGAGGTTGAGACGTCAATCATCTCCCCGTCCTTTCATTGTGTCTCACCCCACATCATGATTCCAGTACAGTATGTACGTAGTACAGTGTTTAGCACTGGTGTCTGCAAGATGTTCAGCTGAGCCCATGAATACCGTTAAGAACGACATCAGAGAACGCCAGGGCCTTTGCTCCTGATATTCAATAGCTCATGCAATATCTCAACTATTCCCCAGCGAGCGATAATAATACTATTTCTTTTGCTCTTTGTACATACATACATGCATACATACATGCGTATATACCCTGTTGTGTATTTTGTATGACCTCAGTTTACTAGTGATATGTTCAGGGGGGTAAAGCATCATAGATGCGACTGATGTGGTCTGTTTGAGATGCGAGGAGGTATGATAAGTGGAGGATCGAGGTCCTGTGGGGAATTTGCAGTCTGTAACCTGACTCCGTGTATATGACTACAGTTGGGAGGGCAAGTAATGTTTTTGTTAACTCCAAAGGCAACATTTACGTTAACAAAAACAAATTCAAAACTGAGCAAAACAACCTTGTTTTTACCTTACATCTCCGTAGTTGAAGAATACTCCAAAAGAGCAACAAGTGTCACTGTTTTTAATGTTCAATTCAGAGGACCGATTGCCATTCACAGGTGACCGAAGAGCTCTTTTTAGAGTGGGAGGGAAGGCGGCTATAAACGTTGGTTAATAATTCAAGCCCAATTGATCAATAGTGTAACCCCCCACAAATGGGAATGTGTACTATTTTCATGCTTTCATCTGTCTTGAACTCCCCACACATGGTTATAGTTCTTCTCCCATAGCAATAGAGTATTACCTATATCCAGCTAGGGTCACAGAGAAATGTGTACATCCAGCTAGGGTCAGGGGTTACCACCAACCTTGCGCAAAAGAACTTCCTTAATCTCCTCTCTCTCTTCCCTTTGAAGCTCTCACGGTAGAGTGGCTACTTCCTGTCCTGTCTTTGCAGGAATGCTCATTCATGCATGTATTACAGATGATGTGTAGTATTGACTAGACACCAAGTTGTCTTGCTCAGCCCTTGCATTCGCTATAGCGCTCTGGAGTGTAGCTAGAAGGGGAAACCGTGCGCGATCGCATTGAACCATCTGCGCATGCGCAATCGGTACGCTCGAGCCTTAGCTTATTGCAGGTTCGTGAAGCGGAAAGGAAGTTTCACAGTAATCTTAGCTGCAACATAGTCCCCTGGCAAGGCTCGAGTTATTCATTTACTACTGCTCGACTGACTCGGTCCACCGCGGAGTAGCGCCATGGCCAAGGTTTTCTTCCATCTTTCTCTACTCAACAACTTCAAAGGTAGGCCTCTAGTGCCGTCTGCTAGCGTTCTGAAACTGTTCGGCCATCCTGGATTAGCTTTCCAGCTCTTTACACACTGGTACATAGCTACCTCAGGATCCCTACCCCACGTACCTTACTGATCCCTGATCCGGCGTGTTTTGGTTGTAAGATCGTGAACTTGTATAAGCTATCTGGGATCCTGTACCTCGTCCTGACGTTATGCTTGCCAGCTTGCTGTATTGTTAGCTGGGGTTGTGGTATGGGAAGTTGCTCATAAACAGCAGGACGTTTAGTTTACCTTTGGTGCGAACAAGCTAATCTGCTACTTTATGTACTACTGTTGAAGGATTAGTGGATGTGTCGCACGCATGCAGTAGCATATCCTGGTAGTAATCCCAGCCCTGGTATATATAGCTATAGCTAAAATCCTCCCAGCAAACCTCACAGTAATTGCCTGTGTATTTAGCCATACCTCAACTATGCCCTGGGCTTGGTCTGCTAGTGCTACTACATCCCACACGCACTGTTACAGTTCCCTTTAGTTCTCTTTGTCCTCCACCGCTGCACACACCGTTAGTATTAGCTTAGACCTTTGGGGAGATATTTAAAAAAACATATATAGCTGTCCTATGCCTAAGACTTGTGGCATGAAAAGCTCTCTGATGTGATTGTGTAGTCGCAAGGGGGAAAGTTGTGTAAGCGGCTTTCTGAGTAACATTTACTGTTGCGACTTTCACTGTTTGTGTGTATACACTCTGTAACTGTATCGGTAGACATAAGAAAGAATCATTTCTGTGTGTATGAAGGTGGCTGGTGTGTGAAAGTAGGCGAAAGTTGTCTGTCCTTATTTTGTTAGTGTGAAAGGAAACGAGACGAAGACTGTGTGGTAGAAGGTGTTTAGGTCTTGAAACCACAGGTGTTGTAAGTGAATGGTTCACAAAGAGTTAACTGTGGCGGTATACTAGTGTCTCCAAAACTACTTCAGTATGTTACCAGAAAAAGATGTGTACAATGAAAGGCAATTTTTTGGGAAAAACAAGTGTTGTGATTTGTGAAGATGGCCTTGATAACATGCTGTGTGCATGGTGCACCGTAAGTAGTTCAGTATTGTCAGTGTCTCTGAAAGGACCATTCACAGACATGCAGCGGTAATATCTGGATGGTTTGATGTGTCCTGCATGTCCGGAGTTTTTTTTGGGGCTTTAAAAACTCTGGTGTTTGTGGTTGGGGAAACACATGTGTTGTGTGGATAGGGCACAGCTGTGATTGTGGTGTGTATTCCTTCTAGTTATTGGCCGTTTCACACGGCGGCGGGCTTAAAGCAGTCGCGTGTACATTCAGTAAGCAGTTTGCCTGCTTTTTTCATTGAGCTGGGGCTACTTACCAGCTAGACATGCTGTCTGTGGGAAAACCAACAGGGTTTTGTGTACCCTGCTGACACTAGTTTACTCTGCTGATCGATGTCCAAGTAGCTATGTCGGCACCACTTCATCTGTTTTCTATTTACCCTCGATCTGCACCGCTATACTCTGAACTCTGTGCTGACACATAATCCATGTGGACAGTTTGATTTCCCTCTACGGACACCTCAACCTTTTGCTGTGTATATAGTAAATCTGTTTCGTATCTCTGTTGGCTGCTCTAGTCTATACTGCCCAAGATGTATAACATACCCGATAGCTATAGATGGTCAAGTGCATTACATACATACACACATCTGCAACCCTATATAGCTCTCCATTGGTAATACGGTAGAGTCCCGTGAGGGCTTCTGTGAATGAGTCAGGAATCCTACCTGGAACTCTGGAACTAATGCCCCTTCTTTTGTAAGAGGCTGTGTGAAAATCGACACCACCTCCCAGTATAGGAGGGTGTGTGGACACAGAGCAGTGCACAGGCCAGGAGAAGTTGTATAAAGAGCCTATGATGTGCTATTGTGGTAGAAACAGGTACTTCAATGGCCCTGTGCTGCACCCAGTTACAGACAGGGAGAGAGAGGATTCTGTTTACATGTGGCCCGTGGAGTGGACGTTACCTGAAGCTAGCTTTTGTTTCCTTTTGTTACTAATACTGAACCAGATTGCATGTCGTATCTGTAGCGTGACTACTCTCTTTACACGATATACTTTTACACACACATGCACGCTTTTGTATGTGGGTTTACGTATGGCACAGGCACTTGTGTAGCTCTACAAATTGTGTGTGGGAACAGCGACAATAGTAACAAGTAGTTTTAAGCCGTTAAGTAATCAATCGGTCTGTTGTTTTTGTCTGTGGGGGATGTATATACTTTGCAAGAGTATGGGACCATTTACTTTGACCCACGTATTTTGTACTGTGTGTATAAGCTTTCTGTGTATACTTCCCTTTGTGTTTGTCACAGTCATTTTATGCTCTGTTGGTGTGGCGGGGTGCACATGTGGGCACAGTAGTGTACCACGCACGTGCTCAAACAACAGACTGTTGCGGTGTGGGCGGGTACAATGCTACCGAGTTAGCTCTGAATCTTGTGGTTGACACAATTCTTCATGCCGTTTCGTGTGTCTCTTGGCGGAATATTTCCCGGTATTCTTACGAATCCTTGTAGCCAGTTGCGGAATGCGAGGTATTGGAGCGTGGCCCAACGTCGGTTGTGATTGGGAGACAGAGGATGATGTAATGCGATTATCGTCAGAAAGCCGCCTGGAGTCGTGGGCTGGGTGGTGGCACGTTATTGATTTAGCCGGTGTTTGTGTGTACAAATGCACCATTTAACCTGCAAGTCAGTGATGGCAAAGTTTTGGTTTTTGTGTGAGTGTATCACGCCGGTTGTTGCAGGTGAATTGGAAAGGTGGAGGGAGAGGCAGGGAAGGCAATGGGGTGTGTATACTAATGAGTGCACATTATAGTGTGTGTGTATGTAGGTGTGTGTGTTGTGTGAAGAGGCTGAAATGTATGTCTTGAGCAGGTCATACTGACGTACATATGAGGCTGAAATGTATGTCTTGAGCAGGCCATACTGACGTACACACAAAATACGAAATAATTATGATGAATGAGTGCACATTATAGTGTGTGTATATGTAGGTATGTTGTGTGAAGAGGCTGAAATGTATGTCTTGTCATACTGACGTACATTTGATATATTAAATGTGGTGAAATGTTGGTGGAAGTTTATTAGCACAATTGTTTTGGCGACATTTCGTTTAAGCCATATTTGGATTGTTAGTGTATGAATGTGGCTGTGGATAGTGGCACATCGACATATTATAATGGCAGCACGATGTACTGCTATATGGGAGTCGGAACGTGGTTAATATTAACAGGTTGTGGGAGGCTCGTGTGGAGTGGGAGGCTTACCCACTGAATAAATCCCTTGGACGGAGAGCTAGCAGCCCACACTGCACACACTATAGGGCTCTATAGTCCTCTCTATTCAGTTGGGCCGCCCGCCGAGCCAAATCACACATCTCGCTGCCGTGTCTTTATCAGTTACGCTTCCCGAGAGCCAAACGTAATCACAACATGCCGTGTTTCGTTGGTCCATTGTCTGTGTGTGCACACACACTTAAATACTGGCAACGTTGTGCTTTTCCTTTGATCTTCAGTGCTAGGGCCCCTCTGTGTTGTTTGTGCTGTCTGAGTGCCCAAATAAGCCCAGAGGGACATTTGCCCGGACAAGAATGCTGTAATTGTGTTCAAAAGGGGTTGGGTGTATGCTCTATGATACATGCAAATATCATAGGCTCCCATAGCTCTACCTGTAGGATGGTGGTTAGACAGGTATAGTTAAGGTACCGGCCAGTTTGGCTTGACAGACTGTGCTGGAATCTTCATACAGTGCTGCGTGTTTAACAACTCCCGCTGGAGGCCAGGCATTCTTGAGAGCGGCCCTCTTTAATCTCGTGGCATATATATGGCGTCGGAGTGATTCTCTGGGTAATTGTTGATGTGGTGGTTTGTTAGCGTTCCTCTTTGTGTCCAGTGGGGGGGTTGGCCGTAGATATACGGCTGGTGCGTCGGAGGGTGATGCTTGCCAGTGCCACTGAATTGAGATTAGTTACATGTTTGGGTCTGGGGGACATTCTTGTGCTTGCTGCACCTCTCCCATCACTAGTAATCCTGAGCTCTGTAAGGGGGGTTTGCTCTTTCTTTCATCGTTCTTACCTTGTATAGGGCCGCCTAGAATTATGTATGTTCACTGCTGATTGGTTCATCTTTCGTTTCCTCCTTTTTCTGCTCTTTCTCAACTTTTTCTCTTTTCAAACCCCCTGTCTACCTCGGTAACTATCTGATTGATTCTTCTTTTATTCAATGTTTTTCTCTTCATTTTCTTCCAACCCCCCCTCTCCCTCTGCCAACCCAGGTTCGAAACCAGTCTCCCTGTCTCAGGGAACGAGTCCAATCACACAGGGGCCCCCTTCCCTCGGCAGTGAGAAGGGATCCGAGTCACCAAACAATGATGTCACCATTACACTCCCCCACTCCAACACTCAGTCCATGATCAAAAAGTTGATAGTCGTGCAGAAGTACGAACCAAAGCCCGGAGAGAAGGGTCTCGCCGTGAGCCGGGGGGAAACGGTTCTCCTGGTGCGAGACGACGGGGATTGGATGTACGTGAGGAACGAGAGCGGAACCGAGGGGTTCGTCCCGAGGTCCCACCTCCTCTCCCCTTCTCGGACGCGCACTCGCACGTCCAGTCGGAGCGGTACCACCCTGAGACACGTGGCGTCCAACGGATGCGTCGAGGTAAACTCCACCACAAAACCCGAGACTGGGTCCTCCGCACTGAGTCAGGACGAAGGTCATCATCACATTGCTAATGGTCACCACCACCCTCATCATCTGCCCCCATCGAAATTGAGTGCAAACGAGATTCTCTACGATCGAAAGATGTACTCCCCGTCCCCCTCCAGCGGTGTCGCCAGTCTGGCCGACCAGTTTTCACCCGGGCTGTCCCACTCTCCAATTCAGGACCGGGGGAGAGACAGGGATGGGAGGGGGAGGAGGAGGAGGAGGAAGGGAGCCGGCTCAGTCCTCCAGCAGCAGTTTGGACAACTCTCGTGAGTCCTGCAGCAGCTACGAGCAGGACCCGGCATCTCACCAACAAAACCACCACCATAATCACCGGGGTCCTACCCTCATCTCCCCTCTCAACCACATAGATGGAGGTCGCGACAACTTCCACAGAGGAGGCGGCGAGAACGCCGAGGGAATACCTCGCTCCAACTCGAGCTCGAGTCGCTCGACGGGGGACTCTGTCTCGGCACAGCAGACTCCTCTCCACAACGGGATCCACTACGTAGACAAGAACACCAACCACATATACAGCACCCTGGAGCAGCCAGCATCACCCCCTCCCCCTCCCCTCCCGCCGAGAAATGCGGCGGGCCCCGGGTTCTCGGCCTCGCAGCAGGAACCCGAGCCTAACGCCTACTCCCAATTGGAGCGGGCTGCCCCTGGGATTAGTGGTAGTACGGGGAGGACGTGTAGTCAGGAGGCGCTCGTCCATCCCAGTCACCATCACAACAGCTTCTCTGAGGGGTGGACGAGGGACAGGAAAGCACTGGGGTACCCATCAAGGAGCGCCAGTGCTGTAAGTATTGACATTATGGTAGTCGTTTACATGCAACTTTGATACAATGTAGATTTTCATAGAAGTATATACCTGCTGCAGTATCAGCGTGTTTCGAGCTTACTTACATTTCGTCCATGTTTTATGTAGAACAATTCCTTAAATGCCAATTTTACTTTGCGATTATTTTGCAGCAACGGAATTTGTGGGTAATGCTATGTAAGTCAGTTACTGATGCTCTCCATTTCATTTTCCCCTGATTACGACTTATACCCACAAAACCAAGAATTTGGCACTATGCAGTATTCCCATCTGTCCTGGATAGGGTGAATGAGTATACCAAGTATATTTTACTGCTTTCTATGATGCAATGCTGTGGGCTCTACCACAATTGACAGAAAACTTGCTTTGGTTCACTATGCAGTGAATTATGGGCTCTAATGCAATTACAGTGGAACCTCCAATAAGGGACCCTCCAACATAGGGAAGATCTCTCTACAAGGGACAAATTGTTGGCCCCATAGTGTCCCTTGTTTGGAGGTTCCACTGTAGAGCATCAAAATTTATGGCTTAATATGTGAGTAAATACTTTGTTTTTTCGATTTAGAAGGCAAGAGTGTACAAGGAGGTGGTGGAGATCAGACAGAACTCTGGCAGCTCAAGAGGAGGGAGACAGAGAATTGTTCCTCCTCCTCCTCTGAGGGTGTCCTCCGTGGCGGCCGGTGCTCGCTGTGACCAGCAGCAGGTGTTGCGACACCAACGCCGCCAGCAGAACTGGAACCACAACGAGACCCAGATCACCAAGTTTCGCAAGACCGTCTGGGGCGTGTTTGTCGTGACGCACGACTTTGACCCGCTCGACGAGAACGAGATAGCCATACGGAAGGGGGAGCACGTGTCGGTGTGGAACCAGGACGACAGGGACTGGTTCTGGGTTGTGAAACACGCCAGCAGTGGCCAGGAGGAGGGGTTTGTTCCGTCCGGCTGTCTGAGAGAGGTGTCTGCTGACTCTAAAGTCTCTGTCAGATGTAAGTTGAGCAAACACCATTATTGTATGGCCATGTACTGTAACCAATCGACACCACAGTGGAAGACTGATTAATATGCACCATGCATAATACATAAAAGAGTGACTTATGTGACATTTATATACTGTACATGACATAGACAAAGTACATAATGTAGTGTTCACATATGGAGGGAGTGCATCTGGCAAGAATTACATACTGAAGTGTGTGAATGTGGCACTTTTGTAGTGAGCAAGTCATTACTGTGCACTGCATGGTCTTGTGTCTGCATCCTTCGATTATATATACTCTCTCTTGCACACACACACACCTCTAGCTGGTTCAGCTTGTCACACCCCCACTGCTGCCACCCCTGTTGGAGGGAATTCCCCACGACTGGATGACATCACCCTCGACCCGATACGCCACCGCACCCACTCCCAGGAATCCCGTCACTCAAACCCCACCCACCAGTCCCACCCGTCACAACCCCGCCCTTCTCCGGGAGTGACGAGCCGTCCCGGGAGCACACGTGAGCGGCGCAGCTCCGAGAGCGGACCCCAGGTGCACAGAGTCCACACTCGGGAACCTCCTCTGAGTCTCACCGACGAACCGCTCCCCCCTGGCCCTCCCTCTTCCCCTCCTCCACCGTACACAGAGTTTGACACCAACAGGAGGTTCGTGTCCCTGTCGCAGCAGCCGGCTGAAGTCCACCACCATTCGCAGCCGGTCGGCGGGTATCTCCCTGGCATGCACCGCACCAGGAGCCAGGGCTACGTGACCTCCAGGAGCCGTGCCGTCCACTACCCACCACCTAACTCTCCCTCTAGCCCTCGCGGAGTAGGTGGAGGAACACTGGTGTGAAAATCCCCAACCGCTGATATGGGACTCAGATAAACCGAGTGCCTAAGTCACACGTGTGTGTTGCTGTTGCTGTTGTTGTGCTATCACATTTTCCCCCTTGTGCGTGTTCAGCTGCGTGCGTGCAGACGTGTGACTACCTGGAAACAAATATTAACACACAATGGTTGGTTGTGACTGCAACAAAAACATAAGATTTGAAAGGTGTTCACTTGAACTTGGCCAGTGTGTTACATTTACAGTTGTATGCACGCACACGGGCGGTAGGCGGGGCATGTGTATGGGTTATACGCATGCGCGATGTACGGACCGTGATATAGCGAGAGAGATCAGGGTGTGTCAACCGGTCCAGTTGTGCCTGCTCGGAATTCAGTAAGTAGCTGTCTCTCTGTAATACTGATGGTGAACTGGGGATAGTCCGTGTAAAAATGCTACGGCCTCCGCGCGTCAAGTGCCGAGGGGTCCGACACGGGCCGTTATGACGAACGAGATTCTAAAAGCCCCTGATTTCCAACTGCTAGCTTTCTACTGATTTCCAGATTTACACGTGATTTCAAGATTTTTCCACATTTCCGCGTGATTTCTACTGATGTCCAACTGATTTGATTTCTATTGATTTTTCTGTCTCTCGAGGGTTCTATAACTGTATACTCCCTAAAGAGGAGTTCCCTTACTGGGCACGAAAAGTAGCAATGCGCCAGAGGCCCATAATACTGGTGCCCATATACCATTGAGCAAATTATAGCCAGCTACAGAAACCATCTCACTTCTGTGCCTGTATTAAGTAAGACTGTCAGTGGTGTGGTCATTCTTGTTCTCAGATATTGACTCAAGCCTCCGTTCAATCACGTGAGGTTCAAGTTGTGGTAGGCCGGCTAGGTGGGAGGAGTCCCAAGGGAATTTCTCCAAAAATTCTTATTCCCTCCTACTTATTTCTAATGCCTCTCTGGCTGCTATCTTGAGCAAACCTATGCCTAGGCCAAGGCCGAGCACCCTGATAGTTTTAGTTTTGTGCAAACCCCAGAGCATGCTATTATGTGAGCGCACACTTGATCCGGCGGTACCGCGTTGCGGTGTATGGCCGGCCAGCTGGCCGGAGTGAGTGATTCGCGTGTGCACATGCCGCAGCAGGGTCGGCCTTGTAGTTTACCATAGTGAACGGAGCTATATGGTGCAGAAAAGTGGTGCACACACAACGACTTGATTTCTGATTTCCACTTTTTGATGATTTCCAACTGATTTCTATGGATTTCTGACCATAAGCGTACGAGATTTCCACCCATGTCGGACCCCTCAGTTTAGACGACGTCACTGTTTATTGTCTTCCCGATATAGGTCAAAGATGGCCGCCTCCAGTAACCTGAGCAGTAAGCTGTCAACATTGGAAGTGAGCAATGCTATTAGCCGACTGACTGTGGAACAAACGAGAGAGCTAGTGTTCCAAATGGGCGTACCTCTCGAGGTCCTGGATGATATTGCTGAGGCATACAAAGGGGGAAATCGGAAGCACCACTTTGTGCAGGCGTGGCTAGATATGACCCCTGATAGCAGCTGGGACAAGCTGGTTGCTGGGCTGAGGAACATCAATATGAACTCCTTGGCAACTGCGATTGAGTCTGAGCATCACCCAAAAGCGCTATCGACTTGCGATCCCTCCCTTCCCGAACCTGCTGCTATCCCTGTTACCCTTACATCGCCACATGCTAATAGCATAGAAGAGGTTAAGGCAAATATAGAGCATTTGGAGAAAGAATTTTCCGACATCAAGTCTGAAACCAGGCAATCGTTAACGAAAAAGGAGAAACAAAATTCCAAATTTTTGGACACGTTCCGAGATCACCTTCTAGAGTTACCTGTTGCAAAGAAGCAAGTTCATATTCGATTCTTCAGCAGAAATGAGGACGAAATCCTTAAAGCTAAGAACATTCAAAAGCTATTTATTATCCTAGGTCGCTACTGCAACTACTCCAACTATGAGATTATCTTCCACGTTGTCAAGAGATTCTGTCATGATCTGAAGGGAAGAATGACTGGTTATCGTGACTCTCTCGTCGCTTTTGAAAAGTCCACAACAGTCGATGTGTACCTATGTGCCATTTCCGCTCGTCCTGGTGGTGAAGTTAGCAAAGGATTCATCCGCATGACCATGAAGATCAACAAGCCACCTTCAGAGTGCTCGCTGTATGAGATCCGAGAGTTTAAGGGATATATTGAGGAGGCGGCATCTCTGGAGTCCTATGCCATGTACATTGAAACCCCAGGGGAGGGCTCTGTATGTGTAGGGTTTAGGATTCACGAGATGGTTGGTTGGATGGTGGGTGTGGCCTTCACTCCTAACTTCAGACAAATACATCTTGTGACAGATGTTGCTGTTTTCCGTACTGAGTTATGGCATCAAGATCTCTCAATGTACCTGGTAAGAAACCCAAGTTTTTGCCTGCACAGTATATAGCTGAATTAAGCCAGTATGTCCAGCAAGCACAGCCTCCTCCGTTGACAAAACACACATTTGCACATGTGTCCATATGCAACTACCGATTTTGCCATTATCTATTATGCAGTCGAGTTACGTATCTTGCCTTTAGCTGTGTATAGTGTTATGGGCAATGCTGGATCCCATTCTCACATGTAACACCCATGATGCACAAACAGGGCAGAAGTTAATGAAGTCTATACATTTTATACATCTATTTGAAAGTTGTCTGTAAGTCCCATAAGAAAAGTATGCTGTACTTTGACACAGTGACTTAATTCCAGGCTTAAGATTCTCCCTTATTGCGTGGGCGTCGATATATTTTATTGTGAATTTTGGTACCTGTCTCGGATTTTTCACTCCTTGTTTTACAAGCTCATTAGCATATTCATGTTCCTCCTCCATACATTTTCTATGGGAGAGAAAACCAGTGCGCGACTTCACCGGGAGCGAACGGGTTCCTCGCCATTATGCGCAGTAGCGTTCTTTCTGCCTCCTACGATACGCGCAGGCGTATTAAAGCCAGTTTCAAAAATGGGTGTGGCCACATTTTAAGTATTACGTACTCGTTGAACTTTTCCACGCAGGGGCTATGCCCTTTTTCTGAATAGGCTCTAATACGCCTCCGCATACCGTAGGAGGCAGAGAAAACCACTGCGCATAATGGCGAGGAACCGTTCGCTCCCGGTGAAGTCGCGCACTGGTTTTCTCTTCCATAGAGAATGTATGGAGGAGGAATATGAATATGCTAATAAGCTAATCCAAGACAGGTATATACCAAAATTCACTATAATTCACGAGCGTTTTAGCCATGCTATTGAAAAAAATAACCAAAATATCGACGCCCATACAATAAGGGCGAATCTTAAGTGAACATTAGTCTCTTCACTAGCTTTGAAAACTGAGGGTTAACAAATAATATTTAGAAGCTGATTCGAGGTAACTACGCGCAGTAGAAAACCGAGAGCCCTAGCATTGTGACGCCCTGAGCGTAGCAGGGGCGCTACCCCGGGACACGAGGCTTTCTACCAGCACATAGTTACCGAGGAATCAACGTCTATTTTAGTGTGAGCACTTCACGTTTAGCACTCTGGCTTTCCTGTTCGTTCGTATGGTGGAGCGCTTCTAACGATGACTCCATGGAGACAGGCTCAGAGTGCCAGAAAATGCAGCGCAAGAGCGAAGCGGCAGAGACTCCGCTATCTTTCTGGTTGTGTGCGTGCACATGGACGACGTGTCAATGTAGTGTTCAGTTGTTGATCTTGTTGTTTAACTATGGATCGCACGTGAGTGCTGGCTGAGCATGCAAATGCTTGATGAGGAGTGTGGCTCGTTCGCCACTTACAAGTCACAACGAAGGGCATGTATCGACTCCCGCGTGCTATCTACTACTGTAGCTATCCCATGTCAGACTCCGCGAGCTAGTAGCGGGAGACCACGAGCTAATAGCCCAGCCCATCAATTAACGGTATCGTGCATGCGCTGTTCACCAAGGGTTTGCACTTTAGTGCTTTTCATCTGTTCTATTTTTGCAGAAACCCCGTTAAGGTTTACTACGGGAAATAGTAAACCTTGGCTTTGCAATCTGATTGGTCAATTCGAACCTTGCTCACTCAAAGCACATGTAGCTAGAATGCACAGGTCAAAGATAATGTTGTTGCTCTTGAGTTACACCCTGTGTATAATACTCTAGAACGATGAATGGATATCTGCCTCTGCGAGAGGAGATGTGAAAGTAATGACTTCACTGATCACAGCTGGAGTTGATGTGAATGTCAAATACTCGGTGAGACATGCATATAATATGAACCTTACTACAAAGTCTTAGTGTCTCAATATACACACGTCTGTCATCACACAGTGGCCTGGAAACTGTGCAATAGTATCTGCCGCCAGGTACGGGATGACTAAATCTGTTTCACTGCTACTAGCGGCTGGAGCTAACATTGACCTACAGAATAAGGTAAAATGAAGATGATGACAGTGACATACTAGGAGGTGTAGTTAGTAGGAAGTGTTGTGGTTCTATACTGTGGTATCGTGAGGAGTGAGAAATTGTTGTCTTTTTGAAGTATCCAACTAGGTAGAGATCTAGAATACACAGCCAAGTGTTGTAATGATAATGAGAAAGGTAACAACTGATCATTAGGTCTAAGTGTCTCACTACACATCACACAGAGAGAAGAGTCTGCATTGGTGGAGGCTGCCAGGAACGGCAGGACTGAAGTTGTTTCACTGCTACTTGAGGCTGGAGCTAACATTGACCTACAGAATAATGTTAGTTTGTAGTACGATGTGTAGGTGTATCAAAGGCACCGGCGAAAATATAAAACTGTGTTGAATTTTCACGCCATAAGAGCCAGTTAGGCACTTGAAAAGTAGCAGGAATAAACTGAAAGGCCTCCAGATATCGGGACACTGTTATGCACGGAAGTTATTGTGGTCTCAACTATACTCGCAGCGGTGCTTTAACTAGTACATACATGTATGTTTAATGAGTAGGAACTGTGGTGGTTCTACTGTCGTGTATAGAAGTGAAAGGGGGTCCTATAAAGGGGCTTGGGTAGAGAGCATTGATGAAGCTATCTTAACGACATAATTATCAAATTCTGTAACATGTAATGACAGTCTAGTGTGTGATGAACCATTCATCAGTGTCTCACTACACATGTCTCTCACATCACACAGTTTGGATACTCTGCACTAATGTTGGCTGTCAGGGAGAGTAGGACTGAAGTTGTTTCACTGCTACTTGAGGCTGGAGCTAAAGTTGATCTACAGAATGAGGTAATGTAATGCCGAGGTATTATGTGTATGATGAGGTGTGGTTTGGGGAATCAGTATCATGTCTCTCCTCACACAGCACGGAAACTCTGCACTGATGTTGGCTGCCAAGAAGAGTAGGACTGACATTGTTTCACTGCTACTAGAGGCTGGAGCTTACATTGACCTACAGAATGAGGTAATACTAGTAGGCGAATGCATGGCATTTTGGCGAGCACACAATGAATGTATGTGCACGAGCCATCCTAGCTTATTTACAACTTGCACCTTGGAACACGTAGGATTGAAAAGAGATACAGCCTCGGTCAGGCACCGAAGAGCACAGCGAATGCCGCCGAATGGGCGAGAGTTTTCTTGCTGGCTAGATTCGCATGGACATGACAGGCAGCGTGTAAAAGTTTTATTTCAGATAAAAAGAAGCTCGTAATCCTGACGCATGTGCAGTAGTACGATGTACCGACAAATCGCGTCGTTCAGACCACTAGGTTAGCTCGCTCCCACTCGCCAATTATGTCAGTGTATGTATATACTGTGGTTGTGTGGATTGTGTGATTTAGAGGTGTATGTGTCCTTCTCTGCGTGTCCTTGTAAGAGAGCATTGAAGTTGGTGTCATTGCAATGTAGATGTATGATTATATACCCCAAGTAGTTTTTGGAGATGGAGGTCATGGTAGGCGTCCCCCTATCCTCACAGCCAGGTTGGTATCATTCTGGCCTCAACCTGCAAGTCTGCCTGTAAGAGATGAGATGTGGAGATATTGGCTTTGCTGATCACAGCTGGGGTTGATGTGAATGCCAGGAGCTGGAAGAGATATGTAATGCCTTTAAGTCCTTTTTGTGAAGTCATCAGTGTCTCACTACACGTGTGTGTTGAGCATTGGGGGAAGAACGGGAAGATAGTCCTACAGATTGTGGGAGGCGTGTGCCAACCTCACCGCATGTGGCTGCCTAGTGGTCCAAGGTGTATGCATCATTAACTGTTGACTCACTTCTACTCTACTTGGGGACATGGATGGGCAATATTGAGCTATTATTGCAAGGGCACCTAAGTTATGGAGGTAATAGGGGAGGGCAAGGTGCTACTGTTAGAGCGGAACAGTATGTGTGTATGCACTACACATACAAGCACAAGAGTAAGACATGGATGCCCAGCTTTGAGAACTGGGGACGGTGGGTTAAAGATCTTTGATGGCTAGCCAACTCTACCCACACATCCAATGTCACAGACTCTGTATTGAAGTAGTTACAATGAAAAGCACTGAAGTGCAAACCCTCGGCGAACTGCGCACGCGCGGTACCACTAATTGATGGGCTGGGCTTTTAGTATGCGTTTACTCGTGGTATCCACGCTAGTAGCTCGCGGAGAGTCTGACACGGACTAGCTACAGTCGTAGATAGCATGCGGGAGTCGATACATGCCCTTCGTTGTGACTTCTTATGCCTT